AAGGTAGGAGTCATCTTCAGCTAAGACAGTTTTATTTATCTAACAGGGTGGTTGTCCTTTGGAATGGGTTGCCTTCAAACGTTGGAGAGGCAGTAAATTTAGTGGAGTTTAAAATAAAGCTTGATAAGTATACGAATGAAAAGGGCTGGGTTTAAAACTTTTTTATTTTATTTATTTTTAATAATTTATAATCTAGTTTTGAGGATGGAACAGCCGAGATAGACCAATAGGTCCCATGTCGTCACAAAATATTATTTTATTACAACAAGCCGAAAACTAGAGTTTCTAGATATATCAGTTTGCATTTGCCTAGATAAAGGGCAATAATAAAATATGTTATTAAAATGAGATGTGTATGTCTTTAGGTGTGAAAAACAGTGTGGTGTAGACTTTATGTGAAACACTTTAGTGTTCTTTCATAAACGAAACAGTGTTTAAAACTCTCTAGATTTTCAGGGTAAGGTGAACAACGACCCCCAGTGCTAAACAGGGATAAAAACTAAATAGTTTTAAATACTCTTTCTATATGAAATAGTATAAAAGATTCTTGATTCCAACATCTAAGTACACCCGAAATTCATTCGGATAACATTTATCATCACTGATCTATAGGGGGGTTAATGAGCTGGTATAGCTCCCAACTATAATTCTTGGATTGTCATATGATCTATCATTTTTCACATTATAAACTACCACTCATTATGGTTCAGGAAAAACCAAAATACGTTTCTTAAGACAGTGTTCGACCCCAAAACTGACCCACTACAAATAATTTTACCCCTCCTTCTACAGAAATCTAACCAACACTATGTCACTGGAGTGTTTATTATGTTTAACTTGCTCTGTTTTCTTAATAAGCTTATACATAGTTTTCTACTCGGGGTTTCTTTTTTTCTTCGATAGCAACAGATTGTTCTGGTCAGAGATTAACGCTCAAGTGACAATTTAGTCTGATATGGCTGCACATGATCTGTAATTTAACAAGTAAATAACTGCCAATAATCTGGAAAAAATCATGAAAATAGTCACTGCAATAATTAAGAGTAAATCTAAATTTAGCAAGGAACTATTGGAAACTCCGTTTATTTAAAACCGTTTTAAATCATCCATGTGTGTGGAGGAAATGATTCAACATCCACAACGTTAGTAATAATAAAATTAAAGGTTGATCACTCATTAGCTGAGCATAGGTGTTTAAGCCTAACGTATCGTGTCGATCTATACAGTTAACCTTACAGTTCTTGATTTTTCTCAGTTTATAATCGTGTTTATCTAAACAGTGTTTTTCAGGGTCAAGTAAAAGCTTGTTCATAAAAGTATATATATAATTTACAGGCTGAAGTACAACGTTAAAATGTATGATTTTATTAATCCACAAGCTTTCCAACTCTTTAAAACGTTCGTCACGATAAATTGTGGAAACTGTGAGTTAATATAACCTTATATTTTAACATGGTACTTCAACCTGTAAGTTTCATTTTTGCGTTAATACGTATCACGTTTAAACTACATTAAAACATGTTTATGTTTAACTGCTCCTCTTGAAACAATTAAGCCTATTTTTTTTTATAAAAACCATCCAACTTCAGATGAAAGTGTGATATTAATAAGCTTGATTTAAATAGTAAACTTAATATTTAAAAATGATGTGGATAGAGAAGACTAACAATTTCTGTTGAAGGTTTACTGATGAAACAATTTAAAAATTACGCGAATAATTAATCGTTATAAGAATACGGTAAATACTGAATATAAGAATGCCTTGATTAAACGCAGTGTATATTCTTTGAAGGCGGAAAAGTTTCGAAACTTCGTCCTCTACAACAGGCAGTTGCCGTTCATTCAATTAAGAAATGTGTGCTTTATGATATTTTTAAATAATCTAATCTTTTTACGTTTAACGTCTTGCCAAGGAGTTACAGTTATCATAGCGCTATCGTAATGGAAAGACAAGAGGTATTGTATAGTTTTAACAGAAAATATTTAGTTATTTATAAAGGCAACATTAAATGTTTCATATTTAGTTATTTATAAAGGCAACATTAAATGTTTCATATTTAGTTATTTATAAAGGCAACATTAAGTATTTCATACTTAGTTATGTATAAAGGCAACATTAAGTGTTTCATACTTAGTTATGTATAAAGGCAACATTAAGTGTTTCATATTTAGTTATGTATAAAGGCAACATTAAATGTTTCATATTTAGTTATTTATAAAGGCAACATTAAATGTTTCATATTTAGTTATTTATAAAGGCAACATTAAGTATTTCATATTTAGTTATGTATAAAGGCAACATTAAGTGTTTCATATTTAGTTATGTATAAAGGCAACATTAAGTGTTTCGTATTTAGTTATTTATAAAGGCAACATTAAGTGTTTCCGGAGTCGTATTTCCATCAGGGATGTTACACTAAGAGCACTTGTTCACTTTTTTTTGGCCTTATCGTAGTAATTCAAAGCTTATGGAATTTCACTTGAAAATTCAAGTCCTAATTTCAAATATGACTCCTCTAAAATTATGCACACATATATATGTTAAGAGGGTCAGTTTCAAAAAACAAAAAGGAAACACACAATAAAAGAGAAAAAATTGATAAGGGTATTCTGTCATGTACTGTGTAATAATGTTTTTTTTACGAATTTTAATATACGCGTAAAAATATTCAAAAACTAATTTTAAAGTCCAATTCAAAATGACACACACATTAAGTGTCCATCACATTATAAGTTCAAAGTCACAGGTTCCAAAGTTCTTAATCCCTAATATTCTTATGGTAATTGATTCTAAGCTATAAATACGTTATTGAGAACACGTAATGTTTCCGCACGGGAACAAAGCATCTTTTTATAACCAGGATCAGAGAATGAAAATCAGAGAACATTTCGCTACAGTCAATCACCTACAGATGACAATATATTTCAACTTAGTCTCAGGCCAGAGTTAGGACTAATAAACCTTATATTTCTTTTAGAAGCGATAATAAACAAGCAAAGTCTTACGATGTTATATATGATACTGTTTATTATTTAGGTATACATGGTTATTATAAAGTCAATTGGCCTATTATAATGCCCATAGTTCGAAAATTAATTAACTGAGAGCCATAATATTTAGTCGTTGAATTAAAGATAATATAAATAGCAAAAAGGAAACAAATCACCAGAGGGCACTGATCGTGATATTCGCAAAATCATTATGTTAACAATGTTTAGTATTACCCTTATTCATGTTCAGTATGTTTTCAATAGCTTAATAATACTGACCAACTTCCATCAGTTTCAATTTACTTGGTACCATATGATATATTTAAGGGAGCGGACATGTTACAATAAATCAAAGGACTGACAGAGCCCGTCATGTACGTGAAAGATGTCTATGTTTTCCAGCAATGTCTTTATAGTCTGTGCAGTGTGGGATTCGGTCCCATTTTGCACGAAGACTGTTTCATTCAAAACTCCGCTAATGACCTATTGGTTAGCGTGCCGGTCTGTGAATCTGAGAATTCTTGGTTCACGACACTGTTGCGCAAAATTGTGCCCCGCACTTAGGGACCGTAAGTGCGTTATAAGAGTCATGGTCAAATCGCGCTATTCGATTAGAGAAGCAC